ATTCAAAATGGGCATGAATTATATTTTACAGTAAGAGAACAGATGTTTTAAGTTATATTTCAGTACACGCATATCTTACCAAGTATTTGGCCTTGCATACAGGACTACAGTAATTCCTTAAGTAATCACAGAGTGCACTGTGGCATATGTCCTTCCTACTTATAAGATATACCATAATATATATGCTATGTTATCTTTTAAAGACAGTTTTAAATGATACTCAGTCTTATACTGTAAGTACTGTACATTATATTGTATCTGCCCCTTCTTCAGATAGGCATAGATACTTAATATATAAATAAAGAAACCTAATTAATTGTATATTCATACTGATAAACATTCTGTGGAAGAAATGTTATGATGCTATCCTGGCCAATTATAGTTCCAAATGCAGGCTATGGAAGTGAAATCCTCCTCAAACAGACCCAAAACAAAACAAAACTTTCTATAAGAACTGCATTTTATGTCTGATGCTATCTTGTTACAAGAAGTAACCTTCCAATCTAGGCATTATTGTACATATTACAGAAGTTATTTTCCAATTTGCATTTTAGCAATCATTCAGGGTATTGACCAGAAAAATGTATCATTATGGCGCAAGAATGGTTGAAGAAGTAAATGTATTCTATTTTTGGCCAAGAGTCTATAACTGTTTTAATACTGTAGTGGAATTAGTGGAAAGTAAAACATTTTCCCAGGTCAGCAAAACAGTAATTGACCTATACCTGCTCGTGGCAGCATGCTACTTTTCCTGTTTTGGTATCTAAATGACTTTCAAAAGCAGAAAGATATAGGCAGGCATATTCTTTCTGGCTCTTCTAAAATGATTTATGTCTAAGAGTAGCTTCTCATCTTTTTCATGGCAAAGTCAATGATAAAGCCTAGGTGGAAGTTTTTAAAAAGGGTAAAGGGAAACAAGCATTTTTTCCCACCAGCAGATGGCACCCAAAGCACACATTTGAAAGATTCTTACTCTGATTGAGAATGATAGAAATTTCATTAACTGTATTTTGAAAGCTTGTGAAAACTTTTACCATAATTATAAAAGTAATATTCCATATTATTTAGCATCCAAAAAAACCCCTACATTATGCTTTTAAATAGTTACTAAATTAACCATTTGTCTTTAGTTTCTTTTTTTCACCAGCACTTTTAAGGGCAAATATGCATACTGTATCTCCTATATTATAACACTTCCCTTTTTAAGCTATCATCATCATCACCAGCAGTATTATATAATGGGTAACTTCCTTATTATGAGGAAAGAAAAGGGAGCAGTTGAAGAGAGAAGTGGCTGATTTTAAATCATAACAGAAGCAAAACTGTTCCATCACAAGCAACTAAAGCTAAATGTGGGCACCTTAAAACAGCGCGAAAAGATCAGAAATGAAGAAGACAGTAAACGCGTTATCTCATTTGCTGAAGAGCCAGGCTGAAGAGATGATTAGAAAGCAAAGTGTGGACCTTAGAGGGCAACAGAATAAAAAAATAGAAAAGCAGTTAATTGGAAAAAGGCAGATTTAAATCTAAACTGTCTGAATTCTAATTTGAATTAAATTGGTTAAATTTTATGGAACTTGTGGGGAATATATGAAGCTTATGGAAACTGAACTAGTTCAATTACACATTATTTTTTGTAATATTCAGTTCTGTCCACTAGAGGACATATTTAATTTTCCAATTTATTTTCTACCTGAAAAATTAGGGCCCTTAATTTCCCAAAGAGAATTAGTATTTATACAAAACAGATATACAACTGAATTAAGAAAACATATGTAGAGGGTGATAATATGAGCCAGCTAGTACAATGTTGATTTGTTTTGTATGAATAGAAGCTATTACTTACAAATATTTTGTACATTTTACAGAACAGATGCTGCAGAGATAGTAAAGCACTGATTAAGATTCAGCAACAAAGCAAGAAGGAACTGAAGACCAAATTATATTAACATAGGCAAAAGCTACTGGCTATGTTCAGCTTGAAGAAATTGCAATAAAATTGCATTCAAATATCTGAAAATAGCTATAACATACGGCAAATTTGTTTTTTGTTATTTCAGAGAGAAGAATCAAAATTCATAGGTTCAATTTAATTAAAAATATTAAGAGAAAGAACTTAGAGATGATATACTAGGAAAATTTCCTGATAATACAGACTATTCAAAGAGAGTGGAATAGGATCTGAATGTAAGTCGTAGATGATAGTCTAGTGATTTTTTGATGGCTGCTCTGCCAAGTGCTAATCTGCAATATAATATTTGACTGCTGGTTCCTTTACTGTTGATGGTTGATCCTAAAAGCTACTTTGATATCCTCACTGTCAATTCATGCTACTGATGATTTACCATTTACATAATTTTGATGGCTGCTCTGCCAAGTGCTAATCTGCAATATAATATTTGACTGCTGGTTCCTTTACTGTTGATGGTTGATCCTAAAAGCTACTTTGATATCCTCACTGTCAATTCATGCTACTGATGATTTACCATTTACATAATTTAATCATTTTAATCAAGTATACTGCAGCTACCTCATTAAGTATGCTTTAAATAGATGCATGTTTTTCCTATGACTTCCCACTGTTTTCCTATGACTTGTCCCCAGTGCACCTGTTATTCCAATAAATTTTAAACTGATATTCTTTTTGGTTCCAATCTTGATTCACTTGTTACCTTCCATCAGCTTACTCGCAACTCAAGATAAAAGGATAAAAGAAATCACTTTTTCACAGAATCTATTAGAGGTAGATGGCTATTAATAGCGACAGATAGCTATCAGGGATGTCAGGTAAAGCTGAGAGTAACACAGCTTTATTTGACAACAGCTCTTCAAAGGAAGGTCAAGCTGTCCCACCACATCTTCTGCTACAACTGAGCTAGTTTCTACTCCAGGAGCCAAGACTGACAGTGCAAGGTTAAAGGGTTGGACTAGGACCAGAGAGACCCAGGTTCAAGTACACCTTTAACCATGGAAACTCCAAGTGACTGTGGACTGATCACTCTCTCAGTCTAACCTACCTCACAGTTGCGGTTGTGAGGATAAAATGAAGGGAGATCACAATGGAAGCTGCCCTGATCACTTGGAAGAAAGGTGGGACATAAACCTAATAAATGAAGAAAATAATTCCCTACTAGTTCAGAACCCTAAGCCCATTGTGAATGAGTGACAGCACCACCAGCTGAATATCAAAAACAGGGAGGTATTGAAGTGCCTACATGTCAGGAAAAGATTCTTAAGAATAAATTTTTCCTCAAAACAATCTAGAATGCCTGGGCAAATTTGCAATTATTTTTGACTAGATCTGTACCAGTTGAGTTAAAACCATTAATACCCCTGGAATGTCCTGTAAGCCTGGCAGACGTCTGCTTTATAAAGTAAATATAAATAATATAACATTTGTTGTTTGTGAGAAAGGCTACCCTTGAACTGTGACTGCCTGACTGCCCACCTTGATGTGTCAATCCTTTGCTATCTAGACTTGGACTTTTGTCCTTGCTTTGCTTTCTGTAATCTTGTCTAGAACTTGGAGTGGTTTGGCTTGTGCTTTAAGGATGACTTTAACAATAGCTGCTTAGAATTATCTAGGTGACCAAGCCAGCATACAAATTGATAAAGAAATAAGTAAATTGTGTTTAAATATATTTATTTTTCTGTATGACTTTTTGGTTGAAAGTAACCCTTTAGGAATTTGGCCATGGATTTTATGACTAATCTTTTGTAACTTCCAAACCAATAACTCCAATAAATTACAGGATAATAGACTGGACTGGACGAACTTAAACATCCCTCCTGATTTAAAGTTCTCATTTGAAATGTCATTTGTCATATTCTTAGGTGCTTTTCAAAGGCATTTGCAGAATCTGATGTTTTTGTCAGAATTATGAAACATATTTGTCAGAATGACAAAATGAGCATTGCAAAGTTGTGATGTAAACTCTGTTCCTTATGTATGTGTATACAACATGACACAAGTGCAAGAGCTTGTGTCACAATGATGCCACAATCATTTTGTCAACCCTAACCTTTCCCATTTTCCCCATACAACCCTCCACCAGCACTTATTTCTTACTATAGATCAGAAATACTTTAACTTCAGCTTCTCTGGTATATGTATGAGAAATAACATATATAGGGTTACTGTGAAGATTACAAGAAAATAGTAAATACATGTTATACAAATATACCATTATATAAGGGTAAGTGCTGCAAAATTAAGTATTATTTACTTGATTGTACTTGCTTACATTATAAACATCTAGTATAGAAAAAAAGACAATGTTAAACAAACACAAATAAAATAAGGCAGTAATAGACAAAGTATGAAATATTTGTATTTGTCGATAAATTTGGGATAACCATATACTTTTTGCAGATTAAAATATTAATCTAGAAAGCTGAAAAGACACCAACAAAATTAAAGGACAAGTTGATATAAATTATTTTGAATGAGCCAATGTACAATGGAAATGCAGTTATGGAAATAATAATGACATGACAGCAATGTAATCTATGACCCAAATCCTAAACTACAGCATGCATATTATTGAAAGAAACTGTAACTTTCTGCATCTGAGTTAATTTTATTTTAACATTTATAAATCATCTGAATTTAGGGTTGTTTAGTTTGCAAATAATGTGTGTGCTTTCCAGGAATATCTAGGAGGCCTGTGATGAAGAAAAGATGAACCAAATGGAGGAGATGATATAAAATGTAGTTTGAAGGTAACAAACAAGTTTACTTCTCAACAGACAATAAGTATGAACATATCAAGAACACCTGCGCATCCAAGAGATGTGAATATATTATAGGGACTTTATAGATCTGGGTTTTCCCTTAATATTATGGAGTGGTAACTTCACTGATTGCAAAGTATGAACCATCCTTAACATGTTTCTGTCTCTAGTGTACATCCATGAAGCTATCACCTTATTTATTTGATAAATTTAAATAGCTACCCATCACATATCTTACCTATTTCTGCCCAAAGTACATTACTTACATTTGGTCTGTGCAGTTGAGAAACTAAGAGTTAGCTTGGCAAAAAGATCATCGTTCTCATAACGATCCTCCTTAACTTCCACCCAGAAGCAGCCTTCAGATAGCTCCTGCGCTGTAATCTGCAACAGTTATGCATAACATGATACAATGCACATAAACACCATTGCATATTCCTATTGCAATATATTGCAGTTTAATTGTCCTGTACATATTTGAAAGCAAAAAGGTCTTGGAAAACAAGGCATTTATTTTTCATAAGCTTTTATGAAACAGAAACCATTTAATCAAAAGTAAATGGTGTTAGTTTGGGGAATAATATTGCTGAACTACATTTATCAATTTGGGATTAATTTGATTATGCATTTTTCATTTCATCATGAAATGCAAGAGGGGACTACTTTTCTACCCATAAGAGATCAGGAAAGTAGGGCACCAAAAAAAAAAAAAAAAAAAGAGTAATGTAATTACATGCTTAATGCCTGCTCTTTATTTTACTACTAATAAATAGAATAATTAAGTAGTATAAAATCAAGAACAAGATTAGCCACAGAGACAAATGTAGAAGAAAAGGCATCTCAAAAACTGGCAAACATCAAAAGATTTTAAACAGAGAAGCCAATGGAAATAATTCCAGGGTCTGCATACAAGCTAAGAAGGCCTCAACCCATGTTGCACCAACGTTAATGATTTTTATATTTCTGAAAGCCATTATTAAGGTTCAATTCACTAGCAGATGAGCCTTAAAATATTCTGACCCTAAATGATATTGGCTTAGGGTATATACAAGTATCATTTCCAACTGAGGACATCTGATAAAGATGGCCACATGCCACAAAAGCTTACACAATAATTGTGCTACTGTCTAAAATTCCTTAAGATTCCTACATACTTATGATTTCATTCTGTAATCTACCGTATTTTAAATGATTCTTATAATTATTTCTAAGATCTCTAGGATACTGCCTTTAATTTCAGTAAAAACATTTTTGCTGCTTAAAAAAAAATTACTGATAGCTGTAAACTGACACATTTATTAAGGATTGAGAATCCATCCAACTTGATATGTCAGAAAACTGCAAAACGAAAACAACCGATAAACCAGTCCTCAATACTTGAAATCTTGAACTCAGAATAATTAAGGGGGCAAAAGCACTGGTAGACTGAGGAGCTTAAATGAAAAAGAGGCAACGCTGACAATGGGAAAAATATATCTAATTATCAGTTAGTAGAAGTCACCTTGGACCAGTTAGTTCTCCTAAGCTGAACTTCAGGTTTGTAAAGCTTCTTAGGAGGCAATCCAAATGGAAGAGCTGGGGCTGCCATAATTCCAAAACCAGATAGACTGGGAGGAGGAGGTGGTCCTGATACCCCAAATGGAAGGGGAGGGGGAGGGGGCGGCCCCAACATCCCAGGCAGAGGGGGAGGGGGCGG